CGCCGACACGGCGTGAAGTAAAGTCACTCTTTCCCTCTGTTTTCAGATAGAAGGAGAAACCGGTCAGAGGTGGACGCACACTCGGGTGCACATCAGCGAAGGAACTCTGGACGCGTTGTACTGACCATGATTGTACAAAGAAAAGGAGCAATCCACGAGGACGTTTTCCGTTCTTATTTTCTTCACAATCAACTCTGACTCCAACTGTGATATTTCTTTGTTTTACTTCTGTTTCTTTTATCGAGCACGGTTTTCCGCTCAGGCGTATATATAAGCTGGACCCCCTTTCAAACCCACGCTACACGTGTGACGCGCTTTTGCTTTGCTACTGCATTCATTGCTTGCATTCTTTAGCTTCACTTATGCACGTTTTAGTACTATCTAGTACCACGATTCACCACTAAACGTTTACGACTCCTACGAGTGTTTTTGTCTATCTCGGGCAACGAGACACTAGGAGGTTGCGCGCATATTGTGACTCGTAAGAAGACTCACCGGAAGTCCGTCAACTCTGGTTAGCCTCATCGGTGAGCCCGCACCTTCTACTCTGTAAGTTAATTCCATTTGGGTTTGCACTTCGTCACGGTTGATTATCATTTGCACGATACATTTCTTTATCGCATTTTTACAATGTCAGAGGAACGTCCTCCGGTAGACGATAGGGAGCTGGACCTACTGACTATTAGATTTTAGTCCGTAGACTTCATCCCCCATGACCCGGAATGGTGGTTCGCGGCGTTAGAAATGCAGTTTGTCGCCCGTAACGTGCGGAGTTAGCTCTCCAAATACGTTTACGCAGTAGAGGCGATCCGTGACGACCGAATGTCCACCATTAGGGATATTATCCTTAAACCACCGGAAAAGGATGCCTACGAAGTTCTGAAGGCTCAAATCCTTCAGTTCTATACCCCTCTAACGAGGAGAGGTTGCGCCAGTTGCTGGCTGGTCGATTGCAGATAAGATAGTTGCACGTGTCGGTAATTAGGATAATTTCCTCGTTGCCACGGGAGCTCAAGTATCAGTCTTTCCTATCGGTAGCAGCAAGCCACGAGCTACGGCGCTTCGGCTATGCGCTGCGAATGGCACTCCCAATCCTATATTTGGAACAAGACAACTCACGGCCAAACTGGGAGGGCAACGACGGGGTATCCATGGACGTTCATTCTTGCGAATGTTCCCACTGGAATACTGGGGATCGATTTTTGCAATTGCGAATGTTCCCACTGGAATACTGGGTATCGACTTTTCGCAGTACTATGAATTGCATGTCGATTCACGTAGGACTCAGTTCATCAACCCAGCGTCTAACATTAAAGTTACGGGTCTCAAAGCCCGAACAGACGTTTACCGAATCACGGGTTTAATGCCTGATATCCCAGTGGAGTTCCAGACATTGATCGCCCGATTCCCCACATTGACTAAACCTATTGAGGACCTAACACTGGTGACTGATCGTGTTGCACACTACATAATCACTAAGGGTCCACCAGTCGCGACGCGATCTCGCCGACTGGCACCGGATAAATTAGCTTTTGCTAAGAGTGAGTTCGACACGTTACTTT